TACTAGAACGCATTATGTATAACAAATTATATTCATATTTAGAAAAAAATAATATTCTATATAACAAACAATTTGGCTTCAAAACAGGACACTCTACTGATCATGCAATTCTTCATCTTGTTCAGATTATTTTTCAAGCTTTTGATAAAAACAAGTTCACTTTAGGTGTTTTCATAGATCTAAGTAAGGCGTTCGACACAGTTGATCATAGTATTTTAATTAAAAAATTAGGGAACTACGGTATCAAAAATATTAACATAGCTTGGTTTAAAAGCTACTTATCTAATAGAAAACCAGGGGCGGACTGGCCATGTGGAAGATGTGGACTATTCCACATGGGCCGTTTTCATAATCTCATAAAAATGTAAAATTCAATAAATTTTATTGAATTTTATATTCTTCAAATATTCTTTGCTGCTTTTCCTCATTTTTCGTTGGCCTACAGGGCCGTTAAAAATATTTTTCCACATCATAATAATTTGGCCAGTCCGCCCCTGTAGAAAACAGTATATTTCATTCGGCAATAAAAAAACTAACAATATGACAATTACTTGCGGCGTTCCTCAAGGATCTATATTAGGACCACTCTTATTTTTAATTTATATTAATGATTTAAGCAAAGCCTCTAATATTCTAGATTCTATCTTATTTGCTGATGACACAAATTTATTTTATTCTCATAGTGATATAACAGCATTATTTAAAACGGTCAACATTGAACTCCTAAAACTAACCGAATGGTTAAATATGAACAAACTTTCAATTAATTTAACTAAAACTAAATATACTATTTTTCATCGCCTCCATAAAAAAGAAAAAATTCCTCTTGAACTTCCAAAACTTATTATTGGAGATTACATCGTAAAAAGAGAATGTTCGATGAAATTTTTAGGTGTAATTCTAGATGAAAACATAAATTGGAAAGACCACATAAACATGATTGAAAATAAAATTTCTAAAAATATTGGATTACTCTATAAAGCGAAACCATTCTTAGATCAATCCTGCTTGAAATACATATATTACTCATTTATACATTCTTATCTTAATTATGCAAACATTGCTTGGTGTAGCACCAATAAAACAAAGATAAAAAAGCTATTTAGCAAACAAAAACATGCAATTAGATTATTATCAAATGCACACCGCCTCTCACATTCAAGACCATTGTTTAACAATCTAAAAATACTAAATGTGTACCAAATAAATATATATCATCTTCTGATTTTTATGTATAAAATTAATAACAATTCAATACCAAATATCTTCAAACCATTATTTAATAAAATTCAACACAAATACGTAACTAAATATTCTAACAACAACTTTGTTCAACCCAAAACTATATACGACTCCACCAAGTTTTCAATAACTGTTAGAGGACCTAATGCATGGAATAAGATAATCAGTAATGATATTAAAACACTTAAAACTCTTGATCAGTTTAAACAAAAACTAAAACTATTACTTTTAAATAATGAACAAACAGATAATTATTTTTAAATCTATCTATAAAAATATTATATTTTAAAACTATCTACTAATGCATACTTTATTTGTCTGGAAGGTCTAAATTCTTTAATTTTATATAGGTATTACAGTCTGTTATATTATAAAAAAAGTACTTATAAAGATTTTTTAGCATTTTTAGATTTCATTAGTTTAAATAAATTTATTAGTTTTCTTAAATAAGAGAGAGAGAGGAAAAATAAAAAAAGTAATCTTTTTTGAGTTTTAATTTTTTATATTAATATTTTGTAATTTGTTTTTGAGGAATTAATATATTACACTTTATAAGAACAGATTGTAAATTAAATTTTACGTTTACTTTTTTCAAGTTTTTTAGTTTTTTGATATTTTTGTTTTTCTGAATGAACTTTTAAATTTTTCTTTCAAAAAATAAAATCGAAAAATATCTTTCAAAACTTTGAACTATTAAACTATTTTGCATTTTATATAAACTTCTTTGTAATATCTTGCTTTTTTCTTAATTTTTTAATTTTCATTTTAGTTACCATGTATTTATATAAATGTCTAGACAAACAAGGGACCTGGTGATAAGACAACCCCGTCTTCTTCTCGTCCTTGCCATTTTTAAATATTTTAAATTACGGAACTTGTAAATATTTGTACGGCTAAATTATAAAAAAAAAAAAAAAAAAAAAAAAAAAGTAAAAATACTGAATAAATTACAATTAATTTATACAAAAAAAAAGAACGAGTTAGTAACAAAATATAATGAAAATAACTTTGGCTAAAGTTTAAATTTCCCGTAACACGTCTTTATACTTTGAAATCGGAAACATGTTACCATGTAAACAACAATAACAAAAAATTTTTAAACTCCCTAAGAAACCTAACAAATTAAAAACAATTTTACAGTTGATGACTAGAATGCGATATTGTCGAAGATTAGAATAAAATTAAATAACATATAAAAGTATTAGTTTCAAACATAAATCACTAAAACAATCATAAAACACCAAGTTACATAAAATATGTGGCACGGAACCCTTTTTATACGATAAAATAATAATAAATATAAAAAAATATTTTTTTTTGTTGAATATTGGAAAATATATTAAATGACTTCCAGTTTTTGACACATAAGCGTAAAACGCTCTTGGGCTTAGGGGCTCGAGCCCCATTTGGGTATTTGCTACTGGGGTCAGCACCACCTGAAAAAATGTACTAAATATTCAAGTATAATAAACATAAATAACATTGTATACATAATATAATCAAATTTAATATTTTCCAATTGGATTGCTTGTGTTGCTTTGCCGTTAGTTCAAGACAACAATACATCACCAAAGCTGGAAAGAAAAATGTCGATGGATTTTATATGGCAGTAAATAAAGTGTTCGATTTGTATCAACATATTGAGCTTTCGCAGGGAACTAAAATAAAAAGCAAATGATACTCAGGAATCAAAATTTGTTTTAATCGCCCAACAAACAAAACTAATTATCATCTGAAATAGCGAATGAAATGCATTCGCAGCACAGTTATCGCACGCTTACCGGGGTCTGGAAATCCGAAGTTCGAAACATCCGAAACATGTTTTGCTACATCGCTTAGGAAGGAGGCATGAACTTCTTATTAAATGCTCTTCCGAGGTGCTCTGTGATAAGTCTGAAAGGACTTCTTAGAGCTCTAAAAGATTTCTTTTGTAATGTTTTGTAAGACTTTACTCATGCAACACTTTGCAAGGTTTTACTCATGCAACGCTTTGTAAGACTTCACTCATGCAACGCTTTGTAATAATTTACTCTTGTAACGCTTTGTAAGACTTTACTCATGCAACGCTTTGCATGGCTTTATTCATGCAATGCTTTGTAAGACTTCATTCATACAACGCTTTGTAAGGCTTCGCTGATGCAATGTTTTGTAAGGCTTCACTCATGGAACGCTTTGTAAGGCTTCATTCATGCAACGCTTTGTAAGGCTTCACTCATGCAACGCTTTGTAAGACTTCACTCATGCAACGCTTTGTAAGGCTTCACTCAGAGCTTCGAAAGGCTATGCAAAAATGCAAAGACTTTACAACTTTAAAGTTTGATTGTCAATGAAACAGCTAACAGGTCTGCCAAAGATCAAATTTCAGTTTGTATTCGGCATGCTAGCGATGAATTAAAGGTTTAGGAACCATTTATAAATTTTTATCAAACCGATAACATTTTTTAAACTATTTGATGAACATTTTGCGACTGTCGATCTAGCCCGTTGATCCTAAATGGTGCTAAATGTTTCAAATCGTTGTCTAACATGTCATAACATTGTTATAACATGTCTGAAAGCACCAATAAAATCCCGAACTAAATAACGAATAAAAAAAGAACTTGCAATTAACGTAAACTGTTGCACTCGTAATTCCTACATTGATTAAAAAGAACCGGAGAAAAAGAATATATTGATTCTTCTTTAGTCTGTCTAAACCTATCATTCATTTGTCGATAAGTTCCCAAAATGCAGGGCATATTTCAACAAAATTCGAACTTCAGAAGTGGTACAAAGTGGGGAACCGTTGCGTCCATTTTGTCCCAATCGCATCCCATATCTACATCCCATCACGCGATATAAATGTGGATAATGCTAAATTTAAAATTATCTAACTTTGAGATTTTAAATCAATTTAGAGCGTCGTTGACAATGTCGGTGTGCACTTCACATTCAAAATGACGGTGTCCGCTTTACAGTCACAAATACGGTGTCAAAACATTTAGTTAGTTACCGATTAAGTTGGTTCAAATTTAATTGTGTATGCCGGTCACACTAATTACATTCAATCTTTTTCTTGTCTTCCTAGGCTTTAGTTTGATTTACATCCGGAAAAAGTAAAACTCTACGCCTATGTTTCGACGCCCTTTCTACTTCGCTTACAGTTTTTTGATTTTAAACATATGGTACGCCCCAAAGCCATCTCATAAAGGAATGTGGTAAGCAATACATAACCCACATTAAAATTTCAAATTTAATGTGGGCAATGATAGAACTAACAGGTAACAAAAACATGTTTTAAATTGGTGTTAAAATGTTTTAAAATTAGCGAAAAGTAACTCGTAAACAAGCTTTACAATTGTTTTTTACAAGATATGTCTAATCATAAGAATAAGTATAAATGCCCAAAAATGATGTGTGATGTGATACAAACAAAAGGTACAAAAAGGTTAATACTATAAATGTGACTTGACATTACTAATCAGGGACTTTATTCAGCTTTATTTGTTGCCTATAGTTACACCAATGGCAATTAATGATGATTTATTTATAAAAAAAAACAGTTTTTAAAACCACGAAGATAAGTTTTGACAAGATTTTAATGTTTAAAAAGATTTCTAAGAAATTTATTTTCTTCTTTCTGTTATTTACATGTGTTTTTTTGTTTTATAAACAGCCAAACAATGTGAAACCCATTTAGACATAGAAGCATTCATAGTTTTAAATTTTGTTTTATCTTTCTAGCATTGTTATACCTTTTTTATTCTCTTATCTTTTAGGTTGCTTTATTGGGAACAAAGAGTATAAGTTGACTGGAAAATTATTAGACAAAATATCTACACTCGAAAAAGAATATTTTATTTCTCTAGAATATTATCCAACTTCTTACCCTACCCAGACTACTTTTTATAGTGTTGTTCGTTTTACTTCTACCTATAATGATTGCTGCGATAATGGAGATCGCATTCCGGCCATTTTTTTGGATAAATATGGAAAAATAAATGTTGGAGCTTCAATTAATAACAATTTTAATAAATATCCAGTATTAGATGATCCGCTATATAAATTTGAGCTTAATCAGTGGAAAAAAATCAGTATACAACAAATGTTACTGAATACAGTTTATCAGTACTCAATCTTTTTAAATGACGTTTCTGTTTATACTGAAAATAACAATAGTTCTCAAAAATTTATAAATGTTTCAGTATATGCTGGAGATCCATGGCGCCCTACAGATGGTTATTTAAGAAACCTGTTTATATTTAATAGCATTTCAGGTTAGTTCAAAATTTATATAAATTTTTATATAAATTATAAATAAAATAAAAAAAATCAAATAGAACATTTATATAATTTATAAAAATGCTTTAGTAAACGTTAACATTTACAAGACCTGAAATCAGACTTGATTGAAAAGATGTCTTTAAAAGTCTTATTTACGATGTTTATGAGATGTTTTTTTTAATCGATTATGCAAATCTAAAAGACATCTTTTTTCGGTATCGCAAAGACGCCTTTTTTTATCTTAATCTTGTCATGAAAAGATTTAAAAAATGCATCTTTAAGACGTCTTTGTTAATCAATAATGTACTTCTAAAAATTTTTTTTTCTCGGGGTCGGAACGATTTTTTTGTCATACTTATTATTATACTATAGTACCCTATACACTATAGTATTCCTACTTTTCATATATGAAAAGTTGTTTTTATCAAATAAAAGTGATAATAGCTCTTAATATAAAGTATGACAAAAAACTCTTTTCGATGTCGAGAAAATTTTTTCATACAAGCTGGGGACGACTTCTAAAAAACGAGTGAACATAACAAACAGTCTATTGCTTGAATGTAATACAAAAAACCAAATGAAACTTGATTAGCTGAGTGAAACACATTAGTCTTACCGACTACTAATTCAAAAAGGGCTGATACTTTTAATTCCCTCATGTTTTCAGCGTGATTCTTTCTTTTTGAACCCACTAGGTTAGATTGGGACAGTAGTAAAATGTCTAATAATATATAAAAATGAATGTGCTAAAGAAGTTTACGACCGTCAAATTGACTTTACAACAATGTATTTTATCATTTAGTATTTAAATCAAGCTAGACATTTGCACCTCTCAGATTTGCTATAAAAGCAAATCTGAGAGGTGCAAATATGAGGTCTATGACGTGACTTTTTAATTGAATTTTGCTGAAATTAAGTGTTGTAGACTCATAACAATTTAAAAATCCGTAAGTGGCTATAGACTATCAAATCGAAAAGATAATTCAGCTATACACCTTGAGATTTGTTATTTATTTAAACTGGATAAAAGTATTAATCAAAGGTCTGTTTTAGTCTGAAACATAATGATGCTTTACTTAACAACATAAAATTATAAAACTGGCAATACCATTAGCAACACAAGTGAATTACACATAAACAAAAATAAAGACTAGAAAGCTGCAATGATGTTTAGATATAAGAAAGTGTACCTTTCCAGTATCATTTTTACTCAGTCTTTTGTATCCAAACCAAAGGTTTTGCAAACAGTTCTAAAGAAAAATCTGTTGTCATTTTATCCATTTTTTATTTGCTTTGTTTAAGACAGACAACAGTAAACAAGGAAATAACAACTTTAACATAAAAGTTAAAGAGGTAATATTTTGCATAAACAATTTCATCATATTACTAAATAAAAACAACAAAATTATTCAGATCATTTAAAAATATATTTAAAAAAGTGCAAGCCTACAGAATGCTTCTTCTTTTCTATCGTTCGTTTCACTTGTAACTTGAACTTGTAAATACAGACACAAATTGTTTACAGGTTTTATTTTTTATCAGAAAATAAATATTTTAATTTAATATATAATAAACAACGTTCTTCAAGCAGAACATATTAAAAAATTAGACCAAAAATAAACGTATATATATATATATATATATATATATACATATATATATATATATATATATATATATATATATATATATATATATATATATATATATATATATATATATATATATATATATATATATATATATATATATATATATATATATATATATATATGTATACGTATTAGTGCTTGCATATATCCTCGCGAGAGTGCTCGATAAATTAAAGTAAAGTTAAAATGATTTATATTAAAACAGAGCTGTATTCATATATATTATTTTATATACATATATACATATATATATATATATATATATATATATATATATATATATATATATATATATATATATATATATATATATATATATATATTAAATATATAAATGAAAAAAATACGACTTTTTTATAGGACTTCAAGTTTCATGCCATTCGGCACTCATTCAGCCATTCAATAAAATCATTAAAATAAAAACCGTTATAAAAATACAAAATTGCGTTGCAACGAGATCAAACATCAGTTTTTACGAGATCAAACATCAGAATTTATTTAACCGGTGTCGAAATTCGATAGAAAAAACTTTTTTTATGTGACTACAGGCTGAATCCAATTCACTTTTTTTTATTTAACAAAGCTTCTTTATTGTATGTTGAAATAAAATATTTCTGGTTTATGCAAAGATTACATCTTTTTGAGGATGGGTTATTGTGTTGACATTTTTAACAATACTCCAATTGATTATTGGTTTAATGCCTGCTTGCTTAAGTTTCCAGATCTCTTTAGAAAATTTAGTGTCATTTTAATATCTGACCAAGTTGAATGATTTTACTTTGTTTGCAAACCTGATTATGAAGGAATTTTCGCTAATACCAATATAAGATTTCTTAGCGTGGCGCAGTGGGCCAGACACATGAAAAAGTGATCAAAATTAATAACTACAAAAAGAAAAAAGATTTTTTAAAAAACTTTTTAAAAAATTCTATCCACTAAATTGACAATGCAAATTTCGAATATTTTATCAAAAATTATCAAAAATCTAAAAATCACCTGTACAGGGTTTGATGAAGTATGAGGCTCTTCTGTAAAAATGAAAGGTTAATGATAAAATTCAAAAAGTAAAGTTGCATTAAAGCTACCAATATCAAATGTTGCATTTATACCAAATCGGTTATGCAAACTTTGAATATTTTATCAAAAATTAACAAAAGTTTAAAAATTACATGAATATAATCTACCTACAAAAGTACGTGGTTTATTTTATAAAAAGAAAATTAATAACAATATTTTAATAGTGTGGTTACAGCTACTATTATTAAGTAGTGTTTTTTATACCAGATTGAAGTATCTTACTATTGCATTAGGGCATACCCCGACTAAAGTTAGTTAGCCCAAAATAGGTAGTAAGAAGATATATCCAAAAATGCATATTTGTCTAATCAATAAAGTGTAATGGGATCTAACAAATTTTTAACACCATGTTAGTAATAAGAAATGAATTCCTATTAAAATAGCTTATATACACGTATGCCAGTAAAACTTAGAACATTTTTAAAACGAGAAAATAAAAACTCGTAAAACTGTAATTTATAATCATTTGTAATTTATCATCATTATCAAATATTCTCTGCTTCATAGCTCTATAATCTCAGCTTCATAGCTTTATAATTTTATCATGTCTCAAATAATTTTTATTAAAATATTTACAAAAATTTTAGTAAATGTTCTAACTTTCACTGGCACACCCTGTAAAACATTCTAAAAAAATGTTAGTAAAAATAAGTTGCACACACTTGCGTATTTCATTATTAAATATCCAAAACTTCAGAATCACACGGTTTTAAGAGCTGTACTACTCCATCCGGCAAAATTTTCCGTTTGTACGATATTGAACTTGCGCGTAATGAACTAATAATTGGATCAGAAGTGCAGAGAAGTTTTTGCATCAAGTCTTCATTCGTCTTCAAACGGAAGCACTTACGTGTAAAACTTTGTCGAAATTTTTAAAGTCTTTATGTCGGGCTTCTAGTGCCTCTTCGGAGAGCATACAAATTGGTCATTTTTTCAATTACTAAATATCCATGTATTAAAATGCGATGCACGATTTGAGGCATATAATACCAAGGATAAGTTATACAGATTGCAGTTTCAATGCAATAGATCCTAAATTTTTCTGAATCAATTTGAAGTCCAGATGACAGTGTTGCAAGAACAACATGGAGCCTTTTTAATAGATTTAAATCAATATCAAGAATTTGAGAAATAGTAACAGCATTTTGAAAAAACCGCCTTGCTTGAGGACCAGAATTTCTAGTTCCTGCACCACCAGGATTAGGAAAATCAACAACCAAGCCAATTTCGTTCATTAGACGATCCTGAATCATTTTTTTTTGTTCTTGAAATGCAATTTTATCTTCAGCTGCACGTGCCTGCCACTTTTGAAATGGCATTTTATATGAAACATGGAGAATGAATTCCATAAATCGTATCCAAGCATGCAAAGTACTGAAGCCATATTTTAAACAACTAGGGCTTACTTTTTAAAATGCAATTTGATCAATACATTTCATTTCCTTGGGTGTAGCTCCACAGAGAGAACAACACTGACTTGAGGATGTTACATCGGATAAGGCTGTAGCTACTTTTCCATCTATCATCGTAATTTCCAAAATATGCTTCATTTGAACGTTTTCTATTATTGTTGGCTGAAGGTTTCATTGGTTTATAAAAACTTATTCATCTCTCAAACGGTTCACTGTTTCTGTAACAAAAGAAAATCTAACAGGGCGGCAGTACAGGGTAGATGAGGACCTTGGATTTCTCCATATGATTTTTTTTTCATTTTGCACATGTTCATACATTTCTAATGGTACAATGCAAGTTATAAAAAGACTTTGCTCTGCTTGAAGATTTCTAGTATTAGGATTATTGTTAGATAGTGGTTGTTTGAAAATACTTTGGCCTGTGGCAGCATCAAACCCAATTTTATAACATAGTGTTAAACCTGTAATAGCTGGAATAGTAGCGAGAACCGGACAGATAAACTTCCTTCATCCTCGGGAGTCTTTAGACGTCCGCGTTCAGAGGTAAATGAGGAAGATGATGATACATTTGTGGAAGTTGAAGGCTCATTATAAAGTTCGTGTTTAAAAGTAGAAGATGCAACTGAAGTTGAAGCAAGCATTTTAATGGCAGGTTGTGACAGCCAAACCGAGATTTAATGAACAAAGCGATCAAAAGATGCTGTTTTCCACTTGGTATTTAAATTAAGTAAAAATAAATTAATAGTCTTCTTAATTATGCTGTTGTCAATATCATAACTGGAGCATTTAGACACAAGGAAGGTAAATAAAAGTTTCTTATTTCGTTAATCAAATAAAGCAATTAACTTTCCG